CACCCCCCCCCTGACATGACCACAAGAATGAAACAACCAAGTATCCCCCCTTCCATCAATCCAGTTCGGCGGCTCCGAAGAAGCGGGGTCGACATCGTCACAGGGTAGCGGCGACGGTGCATCGGCAGCCACCTTCAAGGGAGTGCCCGAGGTCACCCCGGAGTTGTGGGCATCCGTCACGGGGGAGGGGGCCGGCGGAGGAAACCCCCTCACCCTCGGCGTCTTCTTCTTGGACCGGTTCTCGGAAAGATTTGCGTCAGACCTACGGGCGGCGGAGGAAGCGGCAGAAAAGGCGACGGCGCGGCTGGGAGGCGGTGGGATAGCGTTCGTTTGGGCGGACGCGCCCTGCCAGGAGGGATTCGCCAAGACTCTCGGTGTCTCAGACGCATCGGTGAGTGAAGCACAACGTGCACGTTTGCTGGACTGAGTCGGGCTGATGCCCGTCTCGACGCAAACCGCTCCCGCTTTTCTTTTTTGCTATATTTATCTGGGAGGCCTCGTGTGTGCTGGTCATCAAATGTCCATTCGGGCTATGTATGCCTATCATACGTAGAACATTTTTCTGTTTTTCCTACTGAGGTATCGCACATTTTACGTTCGTCGCGAGGATAGCATGGGGGCTAGCGTGACTGGCAGCTAAGCTGATTGCAGACATCGGCACGCCCAGCAACCACAGCAAAAGGTCTGTATCCTTGGAAACATTGTTGCCTCTGCGCGAAACGATCGATCCATCTGGCCCAACCCTTCCCACCAGGGGAGGGGCGCGGCTTAGACGGGACTGTCCGCCAAGCACATTACATGTGTAGCAGATGATAGCAGTCGGACAGAGAGACCGCACGGTGCATAACCCCAGGAACAATTTGCTCCCGCCGCCGCCGCCACCTCCACCACTGCCTTGCCCCGTAATCAGGGGACAACAGCCTGGGCGTACTTCATAGTCGAGCCCCCCGCCTATTTCTGAAAAACACTTGACGTACTGATTTCATAGTCGAACACCTCGCCCTTCTCCTTCCCGATCAACTGACAATCGTTTGCAGGAAGTACCTGTCCTAGTAGCGTTCTCCTCAAAGCACAAGAAGTCGACGAGGTTTGTGGGGGCGTGGGAGGCAGACAGCTTGGGGACGTTCCTGGGACGAGCTCTCGGTGGGCGGGTTCCACTCTTCCCCGTTGATGGCGAGGCACCAAGGTAATGTTGGTAGCAATAGCAAATGCTGTTGTTGTTGTTGTTGTTGTTGTTGTTGTTGTTGACCTTAGAGATGACAATGATGATGACGTTGTTGGTGAACGGCGTTGTTTCTTGCTCTTGATATAGATGTTGACCTTGTTGATATTGATGTTGTTGTCGTTGATGTTTGCGGTATGTCCTTGTGGTTGGTGATGTGACAGTTGCTGTAAGGAAGTTGCAGTTGCCGGAGGCGTTGGTGGCAAGTTGCTCTTGTGTCGGTCTTCACTGGGAAACGTGTTTTTACCGCACTATCTCCGTACCTCATAGCAGCCTGGGATCTCCCTCGGTAGCAAGCACCTCCCAGCATTCCCTGCGTTTACTTGTCCGTGCCATTCTTCCACGATCCGACCAGTGCTCTCAGGGTAGAAGTTGTGGGGAGCCAATTGACTAACTAGTTTTTTTTTCCAAACACAACTCTCTGCAAGATCGTAGCTTCACCCTTGTGCCAAGCTTGTGGATTTTCATCTCGAACACCCAACGACCCCCCCCCGGTTATTGCACTTTGTCCCGACGCCCCCCCACGTTCCCCAAGGCCTGACGAAAGCGTGGACTGTGCACAGCGTCCACCGCCTGCCTGGCTGGCCGGCGGCGGGGAGGGGACAGGGGACGCGGCGGAGGAAGACGACGGCATGGGAGATTTCATGGCGGAGATCCTGGCGGAGGAGGTGCGTCGTTTCGTGAAGCCAATATGTAATTCCTCTCGAGTTGGCAGGCGCTCATTGAAACGCCCTCGAAGCGGGTTAGCATGCTACGAGTGTTGGCTTCTATGCTCTTGCTCACTATCTCGAATCGAACTGCGTGTCTTCGTCGCAACCGACGTTTGCGCAGGCCCCCCAATACCGGTGAACACGATGGGAAGACATGACAGTTTGATGGAAATATTGAAGCTTTCAACACATGGAAAAGTCAAAGTCGTAAGTATTTCGCCTTTGTTGGATCCCGTTTTGAAAACCATAGCATAGTGAGTTTTGATCTTCACCCCCGAGCCATGTCTTGTCTCCCTCCTGTTGTCCTTCCGCTTGTCCTTCTCCCTGTTTAGGCGAAGGCGAAGCGAGAGCTGGAAGAGGAGGTTGCCAGAGGCCTGCAAGAGATGGAGGACGCCAAGGGAGCGGAGGAGGAGGAGGCTCCCAAGAGAAAGAAGAAGATCGTCAAGAAGAAGAAGAAGAAGTCAGGGGCTCGCTCGGAGCTGTAGCATGCAGCACCTGGCCTAGATATTTTTGACACGGCAACGTGACGGTTGTAGGGCTTAGGGTTCGCTGCGTGTGTGGTTGTATGAAGTATGTAGCGTCAGGCGGTATGGGTCACGTCGGTGGGGGGAGTGAACTGCTTTCAAACTGCGATCATTTTTTGATCGCCTTGATTTGGTTTTCGTCGGAAAGACGCGTCTCCCGTTTTTTCTTGTTCGTGTGTTCATCTATCCCGGCGCCAAAGCCTAGACTACTCTACCTTTCGGTGTACGTTTGGCGTGTCAGGTGGTTTCGCACTGCAGGAAGGGAAACACCAGGACTTTTTCTTTATTTTTCGTCATGGCGTTCGCAATTCTTATGCCATGGCGCGAAGAAAAAAGAGGAAGGCACCGACAAATTCCTCAGTCCGGTCTGTTGACATAGCAGATGGAAACGTGCATCTACCTGGACCCCTCATTGCTTTGTGTCCAACGGTGGGGTGGATTCCTGGTCTTGAAGCCGCTCGACAGTGCGACCGGCAGTGCGAAGTTCAGGAAACTCTTGCGCCCCCACCCGACCTTTATACCCGTCCTCATCATCCACGGAATGTACCGCAAACGTGAGGATGATGACCAGCTTCTGGTTGGCTGTGAGCCATGGTGTAGTCTGGCCGGCGAAAAACCAGGTATATCGCCCCGTCCCGGCAATGTACGGATGCGAGGTCAACGGTCAATGACTACGGCATACGTTCACACGAATAACCTCCTCCTCCCCCTCCTCCTCCTCCCTCGTCCTCCTCCTCATCCGACCGCAGTCAGCACCGCAGTTAGCACCATTCACAGTGGCAAAGCCTGTACCGAATGGCTAGCGCGGATAGGATCATTCTCGAGCGCCATGCTTTTCTGCCCCACCCGATTGTATCCTGAGTTTCAGCAGTGACTTCCAGGAGAATCGTTACAGCGCAGCTGAGGGGATGCAAACGACAAAAGAGTGTAGGCAGGAGAGGGTGGGCAGGAGGAGGAGCCCATAGAGTTCTGCCGATCATGGCTTTCCGGGGCTTCGGTTGCTACCCTCAGACACTACCAGCCGGTAAATGGACACTTTTCACTAAATTGTGGTTCATGAAACACCCCGTCGCGGCTACTCGTGGGCGTATCGGTGTTGGTTGAGGGGAAAAACTATTCACAGCAAGTACACTTTGGTGTCTGCCTTTCTTGGCCCGAACCAGCTACAGAAACAACTATGCACGCCGCGCGGTCATTTTTAAGCGCTGGCGAGTGCACGAATTTGTTTGGCAGTTTCTGCTTGACAATCAACACTCGCCGGAAAGACCTCTGCTGAGGACAAGTTTCTGTTTCAGCGATGTCGACGACACCGAGCCGCATTCTTTGGGACGCCAAGAGAGATTCCATGGATTCACGCGTAGATAAAATCGGATTCACAGAGCATTCACTACTGGCGCGATCATTCTTTAGGACGTATGATAGACAGAGTATCCACGGATTCACCCCAACAATGCAAATGTAGAAGAAGTATTCACTGTTGCCGGGCCGACCAGCTTCGGTCGCATCAAGGTACGAAAACACGTCGTGGTCGGGGCGGTGCCGTCATACTTGACGTCTTCCGCTGTCAATGGACTTCCGACCTGTTTTATCGTTCAGGTCCACTGCTTCAGGCATTTCCCGGTAAGTGTTAGACTGGCTTACCCATTAGACTACTCAGTCAGCGCTGACTGAGGTAAGGTATTCAGAGTGGCGCGCTTCCGTCCGAATACGTCCCAAAATACAAAATATGCCAAAGGCGTGAAGATTTGACGAAGCGTCAGGCGAGTCGGAGAGAGCTTAAGGCTGCTTGCAAGCGTAGAGGCACCAGATCAAAGAATCGAGAGATATTGAATATTGTGGGCAAAGAACGTGCACACATGAGTGAATCAAACTACGCGAGTACCGTCGTCAGGTGGTTGCGCGTACAATAGACTCAATGCCAACGCCCTAGTGTTGCCGTGTCTTCATATATCCCTCATCGTAGCGTTTTTCGAAGAAGGAGGAAGTGCTCGATCAGCAGTACTTAGCACACATGATATTTTGAAAAGGAAGGCATTGGAGTGAATTGAATGAGTATCCCGGGCTCCCTTCGTTGCAATGCAGGGGGCGTTGGGTTATACGGCTGCATCGACGCGCTGCAGTCAGTCTTGACCGATCCTATCATCTGTTGGAACACTACCATAGCTTCAGCACTAGGTGGTCAGCTTGACTAGTTCACCTATTGTCAATGGCGCTATGGTATGTCGTACATGAATTCCGTGTGATCTGTCATACTCGGAATATGGAGACATTGGCAACGTACTGGTTGATGTTCTATGTTTCATATCCAGAAATATTGTCATTTGGCAAGTGCTCAGCCTTCCGTACTTGGAAATATATTTGTCGCGAATCGCACTTCGACAGATTATTTCAGGCGAAGAACTTTCCTCGGCAGGTTACAGGCAAACAGGGGTTCCGCAGTTGAGATTAATTGGACTATGAGGTACCAGCTGTTAACTTCAAAAACTATACTTCTTGTGTCGCCATCAACTGATTCAATACGCGAATGGACCCACGTTCGGATGGTGCGTGGTTAGCTTGTGTCTGCACAGTATATGTGTATGATGTGAGGTGGAGAATTCAGTTCTTTTCCGGCTGTCACACGAAGGCCATCACGCCATGTGTTTGTACCGGTTATCACGCCAACCTGGTTATTTCACCAGTACAGGATTATCACATCCTGCTGTCGCAGAGTTCATGCTCTTCACATGAAGTACGGCGTATTACTTCGGCTGCAGGTTATCGCACCTAAAAACGCATCTTGTGCCTGTACCGGCTACCAAGCCACCCCGATTATTACACCAATAAAGGAGAACCACCTACCATAGCGAGCTAGCACGCTCCAGATATCAACCTCGGGTTATCGCACCAGGCGGGCATTTTGTATTACCCCGGCGGACAAGTATCGGGCAAGATCTCCCGAGTCTCGGACTTTTGTGTACTATCGGTATTTTTTTGTATGTTTCGGTCACTGTTTTCTGGCACCCTTCCCACCAAGCACAAAGCTACGCAACAATGTTCGTCGTCGAATATTATTCACAAGTATCGCCGACTTGTCACCCATCACACCGAACCAACGAAAGTTCAACACATATCTTTCATGCTTGAATGAATGAATATCAGTATGCTCAGCAGCCGAATTTGGAAGCAGTTCT